CTCCCGACGAGCCGACAGAGGAAATATTGTGGGCCTCACTCTGCAAGGATCCAAGATTTTGCCTAAAAGTTTCACCCAATTGAATTTTTCCGGATGGGCTAGAAAACGACTGCTGAGTTGAGCAATCAACTTGATTAGAAATTACACCTCTCGTAGCGATTGCTAATTTAGCGAGTAAAGGACTAGGAAACGATTGAGTCTTGCTTGTCAGAGGTAAAGAAACAGTAGTTGCAACTAATTGAGGACACGAAGGGGAATTCACGACAGCAGAAGGAGCAGCTGATGTGGCTGATGACACAGAAGTCAGTTGTAGTAATTGATTAGCAGAAGACGTCTGATCCCAAGACTCACTCGGGGAATGATCAAGTTTGGCAACTTTTGGAGACGAAAGAGTATTGTGCAAATCAATGATATCCTTATCATCAGCCCTACCTCTTTCCTCACACCCATCCTCGGTAAAAGCATCAGCTTCGGACTCGGTATCTTCATATTTTTTGCCGGTCTCGGAAACAAGTTGACGTTTCGGCTGGCGGCACTTCCGTCTATCCCTACGACTTGTAATTGGGCAATGCTCCTCTTCTGGTGTCGAATCCTGATCAACAATGCTATCTTCTTTTTCATATTGAGGTTTATCTAAGATTCCAACGGAAATTTGGGTACATAATCTTTTTTCGCAATTGTTATATGATTGGGAATTTCGCGATGAATGTAACACAAGTGGGGGGAGAAGTGGTGGAGAGATAGATGCCAAAGGTCGGTTATCAGAATAATCTGTTTGCTCCGGTTTTCCCGCGACATCAAAAGTATTTTCAGATGAAGCATATTCCGAGTCAATATCAACTTTCAAAAATTTTTCTGAATCATCATCAATGCTGTATGACAAAATTCCTGTGACCCTTACACGATTGCAGATAGGAAAATGTTGCCGAAAGATTGACTTAAGTTGAGATATAATCAAGGTATCATTAAGTATTCCAAACTTTGAGGATTTTTTTTCATCAGAAATGCATGGCATCTTGGTATAATGTAGATGGCATTAAGCAGATAAGTTAGTCAATGAGATAAATTGTGAGAGCGAGAACGATCAAAATGCCGCAACTCTCTAGGTCATTTAGGTTTTCAAATGGTCAAACAAAACATACAATAATTAGTTATAAATTAACTATTTAAAAAATATTTAAAAGAATTAAATTAATATAATTAACAAATAAATAGGTGTGTTTTAGGGCTAAGCCCGAGGCGTTAAGTATGGCTCACGCACACGAGGGTGTTATAGATACTTATCTTTCCTCTATTAATCTTCTAAAGACGAAAATCACAGTAACTATTTAAACTTTTTAATTTTTGCATTAGGGTGTTGTCAAGAGCTATCAAAAATTAATCAATGAAAAAATCGCCTGCGATATAGGAAAGTCTGTGTTTTTGTTTGTACACCCCGTTGTTTTGTTAATTTTATGTTAAAACATATCATATTCAGTTTTAATTCATGTTTATATTACTTAATGCTTTATTGCAACCTTCTTTCCATATGCCTTATAAAACTTTCCTTTAGAATTCATTTTTTTTGCCTTTGTACATTTATTTGCGAAATTTAATTCTTTTTATATGGGATATCCTTGTTTTTCCTCTTTTAATGCTTGTTTCGAGAGTATCGTAAATTTATTTTGTTTTTTTGTTTACTATCATTTGTCCTTCCTCTCTGATTCCTTTCAATATTCTTACACAATTTCATTGCATCTTAAGATTCTGAAAAAGTGCTTTA